TCATGGCTACCATTACTATTATTCGCCCGGCCAGCCGAATCGAGCCCCTCCATCCTACCACGCACGATCCTATGAAAAACATCCCTGACCCGTTTTTCCATCGGGTCCAACCCATCTCTCAAAGCCCCATACACAGCCCAAACCTCACTCACCCTCTCTCTAACCTCCCTCTCTCTCTCCTCCCCCAACGGAAACACCTTAACCGAATCCACCAACCCGTTCAACAGTCGAGCACATTTCTCGATCTCGTGAATCTCCCTCAACAGCCCGCACGAATTCCTCCGCTCCCGTTTCTTGGACTCCTCCAGAATCCTCTCGTGGATCGAGAGTATCGGGCCAGCCCACAAGAATTGCCGGCCCACATAAAAATGGGTCTGGAGGCCTCGATCCTGGCAGGGGATTGCGGCCACCAGGGCCCAAGTCACGATCAGGAGCACGTAACTCATTGTGAAAACTGCAAGGCTGAGCCCGTTAGTCGATACAATCTCGTGGGCCCGAGGGGCCGCGAGGTTACTGCTAATGGCCTGAAGCTGCCGGGCAGCTGACCAAGACCGGGACACACTCCAAGAAAGTGACCGGAATTGGGCCAGCCCCTTTTGCTCCTTTTGGGCATTGTTACGCCCGAATGAACGGTTTCTGTGGGCAAGGGCAGCCGTGTTTGACTCCTTCTCGTCAAGCATACACAGGGCTAAATCTACCAGGGATTTCTTCGCGCGACGAAATTGCCCTTCGCCCAAGCTCTTGTGGCTATTATTGTTATTGTTATTATCCAAGGCGCATAAAACGATTTCCAATTGCTTCTGCCACTGTCTGATCTGCTCGATTCCGTCTCGGATGGCGTTGCACACGTCCAAAGTCTTGACGCTCCTCTCGAAGAACTCGGACACGTGTCGGTCCATTGGGGGTTTGCTCAGCTGGGCCCGATTGTGGGAGATGATGAGATTGAACTCCTCCTGGGAGGAGAGGAACGCGTCCAGAAGCTTCTGGAGCCACGGGATTGAGAGGAAGTCGTCGGGACTCGCGGAGGCTAAATCGTGAAATCGGGCGGCGACGTTTTTCTGGAAATTCTCGAGTTCCATCTCTTGGGGATTGGATTCGTGGGTGGGGTCCACGGCGTGGTGGACCTGGTCACGGCGACGGCTGAGGATGGAGAATCCGAAGGTCGAGGAGGAGGACCCGTCGTGAAGATCGGTGGTTGGCATAGCTTGGGTTTACATGTAACAGAGGCAAAAGCAATTTTTTTTTTTTTTTNTGAAATATTGTAGAGAAAATTTTCAAGGACGGAGAAAATTGGGCTCCAAAAGGAAAGAGTATTGGAAGGAGAAGAAAGGAAATTTTCTTGCTGGGATTAAGCAATATTAGAAAAATCTCAAATTCCTTACATGGATGAATGGGAAATTTGAATTAAATTAGGAAAAATCCAAATGGGCACCAGCAAGATCCAAGAATCAGTAAGAATGCATAAACAGCTTATCAAATTTCAAGAATAAATTTTTCCAATTTCATTCCAAGACTCAAACTTTACCGCAAAAAAGAAAATGGGAATAAATTATTTCCGATCTATCTGAACAGAGGAGAGTGAGAGAAGTTTTTGAGTGTGTAGGTGGATAGAGAGAGAAAGAGGAGAGAGAAACTGGAGAGGACGAATTGGGAACCTAAACGAGGAGAGCCTTATATTGGGGGTGATTTGGACCGCGTATTAAGGTTTGTTGGAAGAAAATAACAGAAATTTTATAAATAATAATTTGTTTTAGAAAAAAAAAAGAAAAAAAAACCTTATCCACAGTGTGAGCGAACTTTTTTGATTGCATAATCTAGAAACCAAATATGGTGTAATAAATGGTAATTGAATAATTATACTAAATAGTGTTTGAATTTGAGGAGTTAACGTCACTAGAAAAGGTAAAATGTGGGGAGTGTGAAGTGAATGTGAAAAGGCCAAAAACGGGAAAAGGTCTTATTCACTGTGGGAAATTTTCTCACACGCCGCATACGCGAATCATACACGGCCTTACTTTAATATTTACGGGCCATGGGCCCGGGCCGGGCTCGTTGTACAAAAAGTTAAAATTGTGAGATACATCTTATCGCATAATTTTAAAATTGATCCTATAATTTGGTCAAAATCCAAAATTTCACCCCGTTATTGACCACTTTCAAACTAGGTCACATAATTTGACAATTTAATCAAGCCTGGTCTTTTTTTATCCGCACTTTGGATAAAAATGTGACATGACATTGACATGGCGTGATTGTAGTTATGTGACAGGATTAAATATTGACATGGCGTGTATTTTATCTTAGTTGGCATTAACTACAACTTTTGAAATTGCAAATTAGTCCATAGAATTTATTAAATTTTAAAACAGCAGCCCCTGCAATTTCAAAATTTTCAAAAACTGAGTAGCCGCCGTCCGCCACCACGCTCCGGCCGCCGGCTTCCGGCCGCCATTTTCTAGCCACTTCCGATCGGAAAAATTTCTACATCGACTTGAAGCTCTTCTCATTCTTTTTCACATCCTAAAATATTTGGTCGAAAATTCTGAGATCTGCTGTCTCAGGTTAGGAAGACTTCTGAGATCGCTGCGTTCCTTGGGGGCACACCCCGAGAATGGATATAGTGTAGGGGTGCTCCCTCTCCCACTGGGTTAATTGACCGGACATCTTTCCTAAATTGGACATCTTGCCGGGGCGGAGACTCGATAAAGCCGTCAATTGCCCCGGTCAAAATTTGTAGATCTAGAATAATCCGGTCAATATCCGGTCTTCTTCTTCAAATTTCCGGCAATTCACGGCGACCCACCGAAATCCAAGGATACCTCCGGACTCCTTGGGCAACCGCGCACCAGATAACATCTCTGAAACTAGTGATTTTTTTTCGACGACCTATTTTTTCCGGCAAGTACAAGTGACAAGATACAGTGAAGCTTGGACCTTTTCTCAAAACGCACAAAATCAGAAGAACCAGGAATTAAGAATTGCACATATACTATGCAACAAGTCTCCAGTTTAAAAAAATTAGATAACCTAATTCCTTTCAAAACTAAAAAACAACAAGCAGCAAGCGTCCTCCTCATACCAAAAAAGGAAAAAAAAAATCTGCTTATCCAGAAAAAGAGTAAAAATAGTGTTAAAGAAATTAAAAAAGGAAAACAAAAAACTCCTCTTGTAAAGAAGCTATATTCGTGGGTTTCTTCGAGAGGGAGTGACTCTTTTTGGGGGAGTTGATTTTCAAGTGAGAAAGTAGATTAAAGAAGGGTTTGTTGGGTGTTCTTTCACTTTTTTGTTTTTTTGTTTTTCCAAATAGATTTCTCATAAAAATAAATCAAAGTCTTACAAACGGGACTACCCCGAGATCATCGGCAAGGACCTAAGAGCAACACCAAAGTGTGCTAAACAGCCGACCATCTACAAAGCTAGTTGCTAGATGAATATTAGAATCAACCAGCGTTAGAACCACCAACAAACCGACCCTCCATCTCTAGCTAACTAAACTGACAAGACACGAACTAAAAACAACAGACTCACAAGAAAATAGCCTGACAACATAAAAGAAAAACATACTCAAGAACTGATAAAGACTACTACAAAACACAGACATCCAGATGAAAAGCAAACAAACTACCCACAGACAAAAACTAAAAAAACCAGACTAAAAGGAAGCAGACTTTATCTTCATGAACCACAGTTCACAGCAACAGTTTTCAGAGGGTAAGCAACATTGCAGAACTCTTGCCATTCTAGGAGGGCTCTTTTGGCAATGCTTCTTTCAGGGACTAGCTCCTGTTGGAATAACCATAGGTTTCTCGATCTCCATAGCCACCAAAGAATATAAGTTGAAAGTTGAATTCTAGCCTCGGAGATTTCTGATTTCTTTGTGGAACAGACTTGCCACCACCAATTTTTGAAGCTGCAGTTTTCAATGGATATCCCATCCCAGATTAAATGAGACATATCCCAAACCTGTTTAGCTCTCCTGCAACTGAGAAACACATGTTCTATTGTCTCTTCACCCTCACCACAGATTCTACAAATGGGATCAATGAGCAGGCCTTTTTTCCTCAGGTTTACATTAACAGGAAGTGTACCTGTGAAGCATTTCCAAGTGAAATGCTTAATTTTGCCCTTAACCTTCAGAGACCAACTCCTTTGTCTGATAAAGATGTCAAGATTCCTTGAATTGCTGCTTTCAGGAAGATCCATTGCACAGAGTTTTCTTTCCATCAGATGTGAGTAAGAAGCTGACACTGAAAATAGACTTTTAGGATTATACTTCCATCTTCATTTGTCTTCAAAACCTGGTTTACGAGTGTGGATTTCCAGAATGGCCTGTCCATCAATTGCAGTGAATAAGTTTTGGATGAGCTCTTTATTCCATTGTCTGCCATTGTTACTCATCAAGTCACTGACAAGCATCTGATTCTCTTCACTGGTTATCCTTTGGGGTGGAAGAACTCCCAGCTTAGGAACCCAGCCAAAGTCCTGCACTTTAGTTTGAGTCCCATCTCTGATTTCTTTCCATATACCTTGCTTGAAAGTTGGGAGCAAAGAAAACCAAGTATTCCAAAGCCACGAGGCAGAAGGCTTTTTCTTTGCTTAAAAAATGGAGGTATTAGGAAAATAACTTGCTTTGAGGAGTTGACTGACCAACAGTTGAGGCTGAGTGGTTATCTTCCAAAGTTTCCTGAGGATCAGGGCCACATTAAACAAGCTATAATCTTGAAAACCAAGTCCACCATGTTGTTTAGGAATAGATAGGAATTTCCAGCTTTTCCAATGAACCCCTCTCTCCAGCTCTTTGCCTTTACTCCACCAAAAATGAGCTATAATTTGAGCCAGATAGACAGGTAGAGAGTTTAGCACTGCTTTATGAGAGTTTCCTTGTCTGCTGTGGAGAGATATTTATCTTCCAGTTCATGAGCCTGTTTCTAGCTGTTTGAATGACAAAATCAAATTCCTCCTTCTTGGATCTTCCAATACCCAGTGGCAGACCTATATATCTTGTAGATGAGTGAGGAGTGATGTCTTCCAGAATATTGCAGATGGTGGCCTTAGTGAGCTAGGATGTGTTCTGCTAAAGAAGGCTGATGATTTGGACATGTTAACCTTTTGCCCTGAGAAATGTTGGTATTTCCTGAGAATGGTCTTCAATAGATTAGCTTGATTGGCCTCAGCTTTGTAAAAGACTATAGAGTCATCTGCAAATCGAAGGTGGGAGAGAGTTTGCCCTCCTCTTGCTGTCCTTTACCCTTTGAATGATCCATCTCCCAATGCTGAATGGATAAGAGATGATAAAGCTTCAGTGATTAAGAGAAGAAGGTATGGAGATAGGGGATCACCCTGTCTCAATCCCCTGGATGGCTTTATGTAACCCACAAATTCTCCATTGACAAGAAATGAGAAGGTAGTGGATGTGATACATGCAAGGATCCATTTGATGAAAGCATTGTCAAAACCCATTTTTGCCATGATATCTTTGATGCAGCTCCATTCTACTCGGTCAAAGGCTTTCAACATGTCTAACTTGAGGGCCATGAAACAGTGTGGGCCAGACCTGTGTCTGTTGAGGTAGTGAAAAGCTTCTTGGGCAATTATGATGTTATCTAGGATGCTTCTCTCAGATAAGAAGGCTTCTTGGGATTGACTGATACAATTGTTGAGACACTTCTTTAATCTGTTAGCCAGAATCTCTGAAATTACTTTGTAGACAACCCCACATAGGCTTATGGGCCTAAACTGAGTGATGGAGCTTAGATTGAGGCACTTGGGAATCAGAGTGACAAGGGTGTGGTTCCAATATTTTAAGATTTGACCAGAAGAAAAGAAGCTGAGGACTGCTGAACAAAAATTCTCTTTTATTATGGGCCAAAAGTGCTGATAGAATAAAGGAATCATTCCATCCTCTCCAGGTGATTTTAGAGGATTCAATTGAAACAATGCTCTCTACACCTCTTCTTCAGTGATAGGGAGGATTAGTTGCTCATTCATCTCATCAGTTATAGTTCTGGGAATGTGATTGGTGATATCTGTGGCCCCTTGAGATCCTTCTGAGGTGAAAAGATGTTGGTAGAATGAAGAGATTTCTTTAGCAATGTCTTCCTGGGATTCACAGCTATTGTTGTGGGCATCTATAAGTCTGGAGATTGCATTCCTTTTCCTTCTTTGCATTATGAATGCATGAAAGAAGCTAGAGTTTTGATCT